CTTGCAACAATTATTATTGGAGTTGCCTAGTCTGAATATTTGATTGGTGAAATAATTTCATTTTGTTCAAGTCTTGAAAGTTCTGCGTCGACTAAAGGTAAAATTGCGTAAGCAACCGATCTCTTAGGTCTAAAAATTGGTTTTGAATACAATTGATTTTTAACAAAAATTGGTTTTCAAAAACAGTTTGACTTTTGTTTTCGTTCAACGACCGCGAGAAGACATATTTGAAATTTTCTTTAAGCAAAGATAAATCAAATTGAGTCGGATCTGATTGAGAATGGATCTTGAAACAAAAACTATTGAGACTGTAATGCCATAAATCAAAAGCTGGGATCCAATCAAGACCCATGATGTTGAAATCCGAATTTGATGTTACATTTGAAAAAATTTATATGTAAAAACACTTGGCATTGCTAGAAAATAAATGTAAAGGTAACAATAATTTGAAATATAATAGTGAACTTAATATGAATGTTACATTTAATAATACGTTTAATAAATTACTGTTTACATATATTTCTTTTCATATAATTCATTCGCATATATCTACACTCACAGGTAAAAAATGGACCACTAAACTTTTAACAAATATTTTTAATATTTTTGAATAGCGGTAACTCAGCGAAAAATCATCATATTGAGATTTTTAAAAAAGCATTTTAAAGCTTAAAATCTCTACTTTTCAAAACGATACTTCAAAAAATGGTCTTACTGATATTTTGTGAAGTTACACACATACAAATAAAAGTGCGTCAAATCTCAAAATTTTTCACGAAATTTGAGAAGTTGCACGGCGCGCATTAAAAATTATGCACAAATACCGTTTACAGCTTTCGAAAGGGTAAATCTTTATCTTTAATTAATTTGCTTTTTTTTTTATCAATCTCTATACGATTTTTTTTTACCGAGTTATTCAACGTTGAAGTAAAAATGCCCCCTCTTTTGCTTTAACATTGATTAAAATCGGTGAAAAAAAATCATACAAAGATCGATAAAAAAGCAAATTAAAGGTAAAGATTCACTCATTCAAAAGCTGTAAACTACATTTGTGCACAATTTTTAGTTCGCGTCGTGAAACTTCTCAAATTTTGTAAAAAATGTTGAGGTTAGATACTTCTTCACTTACGTTTGTGTAACTTCACGAAATATCAGTAATACTGTTTCTTGAAATACTGATACAAACGGTAAAGCTTTAAAATTCTTTTTAAAAAATCTCGATATGATATGATTTTTAATGAAGTTATTTTATCTTTAAGTTTGCCTGTAGTTTTTTTAACTCCCCTTACCTTGGATCTACAATAGGTGTTTCAGCCTTAATCCTTAAGAAATTAACTAATTACGATTGAATTCGAGAAAAATAATCGATTATGTTTCGCCCATTTCTTATGACTTAAGGCTTAAAATTCTATTGTGTATCCGGGGTTATTAATTTCATGTTAGAGCATGTACAATATGTATGCGTGTATACTGTATCCTGCTCTTGGCATTACCCAGGATCAATGACATGGACGTGGCTGCGCGCGGATCGAAAACCGGCAAGTAGACAAATACGAACGGCGCGAAAAAAAAGTAGGGGCGGAAAGGAACCAAAATACGACGAACTGACGCGCCGGACGTAACAATATACACATTGCATACTTTAACTTTTGTGGAAATATTTCTAATCTTTTTTATACTAAATGTTACATCCATATTTTTATTATAAAACATTATATCAGGATCGAGATACAACTCGTTCGTATATACATATACGCGTATACATCTATACACACTGGACACTTTAACTCTCATGAGAATGTTTTTTATCTTTTTTATTCTAAATGTAACATCCATATTTTTACAATGATGTTATTATATCATGATCTAGCAGCGCCAAGTGTTTTTACATAAAAAATTTGTCTATTTAAATTAATTTTTTTCATTTTGTACTTCTTTAACTTTTTATCTTTTTTAAAAAGATAAGTTTATATATGATTGAAATAAATACATGATTGATAAAAATAGTATTCTGCTAAACAGCAAATGTGATTAGTTAAGGATATATGGTAGAGACATAATACAGAACGATAATAAAAGCGCGCCGATTATCTGACACATTGACGCAAGGTCATCGCAAGTCATACATCGCACGTGCATGTGAATCGTTTCGTTATCTTGCCTAGGTATATTACGTATAGTCTAAACGTTCGATAAACTGATGTATCATCGTCTTCACGTTCCTTTTCCCCGCTCATATGTGTCTATCTACTCCGTATATCGTATATGACATGTATGTACCTATAATACACTACTCAACAAAATCTAGGGAACGCTTTCGAACATGCTAAAAATTGGGCAATATTTAGAACACCGTAACTCGATGAAAAATCATCACAGACAAAAAATAAAAAAATAAAAAATTGTAAAAGTTGAAATCTCTACTTTCGAAATCTATAATCAAAATTTCAATATGACTGATATTTTACGGAGTTACACGAACATAAATGGATATCCGTCAAATTAAAAAATTTTTCACAAACTTTACAAAGTTGTATGCCGTGAGGTAAAAATTGCACGAAAATGCGGTTTACAACAGTCGAAAGAATAAATCTTTACCTTTAATTTGCTTTTTTATTGAACATTGTACGATTTTTGTTCACCAAATTATTGAACATTAAAGCAAAAGTGATCACTGTGTGTGCGATGTGTGTGTGTGTGTGCGCGCGCGCGCGCGTGTATACATATATATATATATATATATACAATATTTTGTATGAAAATAAAATTATGTTTAAATTTCTCACAATAACTGACTCGTATCGTAACTGCAATTATACTAATCTTTATCGTTAAATTGTAAAAAAGAAATATTTAGGCTGTCCGTTAAAAAATTTTATAACTTAGTTCGCAAACATGACTTTCCAAGTGCAAAGAAAATGCGAAAAAGGAGATAAACGTTCAAAACAACTCGCTGCATTATGCAGTCTTATACCATCTGCCGCTTTACTTTTCTCTTTCGATGCAGCTATATTATTTACAATCTATTTTAACTTAAAGCTACTAAAACCAATTTTAATTAAAATTTGTGAACATATTATACGCAAATCGCAATACGCTTCGAATAGATATTATACATAGATATACATATTGTGTCATTGTTGCAATTTTTAATGTTGCACGCGTGTTAAAAAAATTTATTTTTTTTTAAACAAAAACCAATTTGAACGTCGTAAAAACAACAAGCATGCGAATATCGCTTTTACAGTCAAATTAAATACGATTGTGTACTTGTCGGTTTATCTTTTAGTAATATTGACTCAAGTGTCTAAACGATCCAACGCACATTGGCTTACTCGCGGAAATAATATATACATTTTTTAAAAAGATAAATCAGAATTTTAACAGCTTATTTATTCGATACAGACGATATAAATAATTAGCTGCAATTTTATATTGGCATTTTTATCTCAATACATCATCGTAATATTCGTTTAATTTTATGATCGCAATTACACAGATATATAACTTTGCCGTCTGTAACACCACATACTATCTTTTTGATATAAAACTACATATATACGCGCGCGCGTACTTATAACACAATATACATATATAATATATATACATAGTTGTATATATGCTCGTATTTATCAGTATAGCATTATAGCGCATTTCTCCCGCCTCCTTCATCCAAAACTCATTTATTATTGACAATTAAAAGACAAATTACAGATGACGTAAACCTATTACGAATAAATCTACGACGAGAATAATCGAAACACGTGTGAAATAAAAATTTCATGAACATCGGCATTTTTAACTATATAAAGTTTCATTTCTCTTTTTTTTTAAACTTACGTTTTGACATAGCGTCAGGCATCCAGCAGTATCCAGAGTTTCTTGAAGACGAAATCCATAAATAGTAATTATACAAGAAAATAAGAAAAATAACATTCCGTCGACTTTGTCCGAAAATATTCAAGATTTTTATTTCTATTAACTGAGTATATTTGTGAATTTTAGAGATAAAGAGAGAAAAAGCACTCTCTCTCTCTCTCTCTCTCTCTCTCTCTCTCCCTTTATCTCTTTTTTTTTAAATCTATATATATGCATGTATACTCATTACTTTGCTCATTTATATCACAGAGTAAAATGTTTCATTTTTAAAACACGCACGTGTTTAATAAAGTAAAATCACGTTTTATTTCAATATGCAAACGGCATGTATCCAAACTGTAAATTAACAATTCATGATTATTAATAGATAATATCAAACTGAAATAGCTGTCAATCTTAAGAACGTAGAATGTAACACAAATGAATTCACATTTGAAGATGCTAGAGTATTATTTCAACGTTTTAATGTCTGTATTACAACTCCCTACCCTGCAGTGTATGTACGATTATCTTGTATGCTAATAAAAGGTGGGATCTGTACTCCCACTTTTTTCCTCTATACGTAGTATAGTTGTTCGTCATTTTTACAAAAGATACTTGTTTAATATTAAATAATTCAAACAAAATTTTTAATTTTCAACGAAAAATTACATTTAAAAAAATATATATATACTATTACAGTTCATATATAATCAAATAATAAAATTAATAAAATAATTTGAAACACCATGAAGTGAGATAAATTTGCGATTGTATTTTAATTTTCTTTAAATGTTCAATTTGAAATAAGATAATCTGAACGATATGAAAAATGTATTGTTCCAAGTTTACTTATCATAAAGTAATAATTAAAACTGATTAACAAATTTGTAACATACGGTTGTTTACACTGTATATATGTTCCACATATTGCTTTGAAAATATGTATTTGTATAACATTAATTTTGATAAAAATATCTTATTTGTATTTTGATACTTATGAAGGAAATTTACATAAAAAAAGGATAACACATTGTAAAAATAAAAGTTCATTTTCTAGAAATGTTTACACAAGGAAAAATTATAAAATTTTTATCTATTATACGATATGCAATGAAACGATCTGACATTTTCAAGTTGTACAATAACATATTGGACATACTTAACAATTAAATATGACAAACATACAAATCGCAATTAATGCAATAACATAGATTAGGTTAAGTTACATTAAACAGACTTCTTCGCATGACACAGTTTTCCATTCTTCATTTCGTATAATTCGCATTTATGTAGTGGAAGAGGAATACCAAGAAAAACAGAGCAACTCCTAAGATGTTGCAAAAAATAGCTAATTGTACATCGGTAATCATCTGAAAAGCAAATGATCCATTTCAGATAATGTTTCAAGTTATACCCTGAATCTATACTTATGATTTTATATATCTGAATGTTTTCAATGTTTTCACCAAGTAATATAATTTTATACTAATTGACAACTTCAAATATAATTACCTTAAAGCTATATAATTGCTATTTTTTAATATCCTAGTATGATTTTCACGGATTTTCTGTAAAAAAGATGACGTATACAAACATATATAGTTACGTACATACAGTTACGTCTTCAAGCGAACGGTTGCAATGGGCGCATTCAGCGAACTCGACAGTTGAGTAAGCGCTCGCTATTATTGGTGTATTCTTCCAGATCTAAAATTCTGATTGGATGATCTAAAAGAATACACCAATAACAACGAGCGCTCACTCAACTGTTGAGTCCACTGAACGCGCCCAATGACCTCGTTTAAAGCCTATTGCACATGAAATGCATAATAGAGCATGAGCATAATGGCCGCAGCACACACTTTTGCATAACGCATAAACCATATACATAAAGAATTTGATTGATCCATTGACTCATACATGAGAAAATGGGCCAATGAAATTCCTTATGCACATGCTTTATGCGTTATGCAAAAGTGTGTGTTGCGGCCTTAACATAAAACTGTTGGACCAATAAGTATCCAGCATAAAGTTGCCATATTGATTAACATAAGATGCTCATTGGTCCAGCGGTCTTATGTTATGTTTATGCACTGTTAAGCGGGGAGCACAGACTTTTGCATAACGCATAAAATATAGTACATAAAGTCAGAAACACAGAAAAACGTAAGGCCGTAAAGCGGGGAGCACAGACTTTTGCATAACGCATAAACCATATACATAAAGAATTTGATTGGTCCATTGACTCATGCATAAGAAAATGGACCAATAAAATTCCTTATGCACACGCTTTATGCGTTATGCAAAAGTCTGTGCTCCCCGCTTAAGACATATCAGTAAGGAAATCGTAACATTGGATTCGTTACCGGCCTTACGGTCTCTACTGTGATTGGCCAAAACGCTTATTGATTACATTAACGGCCATAAGAAGCCTACAGACCAGAGCGGCGCAGCGGTGAAGCGGCGAGCGATAGCCAATGAGAGTCATGCTTTTACGTAAAAGCATGGCTCTCATTGGCTATCGCTCGCCGCTTCACCGCTGCGCCGCTCTGGTCTGTAGGCTCCTTAACCCATTAATATTTTAACTCTCGTGCTTAGAAAGGCTTAGAAAGACGTGTCCAAATTAATTGTAAGGGGTATAAACATATATAAGATCTAAACAACGATCCTATCGTATAATCTATCTATATACTTCTATATAATCCTAATTTGTATTTTTTTTATCTACACTAAGAAAAAAATTTGTTAAATTTTAATAAATATTTCTTTGAAGTGTCCTAATGGAATATTTACTTATGGTAAATAAATATTTAGATAAATGAAAAAAATGATAGTTGATTCAAACTAATGATTCTTAGATCTAATAAATACGTCTTTAAATTTATTAAATGTTTCGCTAGAACTATTCAAAGAAATATTTATTAAAATTTAGTAAATTTTTTCATAGTGTATAAAAGTACCAAATAAATAGTAATGTTTAATATTGAATATGCATACATATTTTTATTTTTCTTATTAGAACTTCTATATAATTCCTTCTCAGATTTCTAATTATTGTTTTATTTTGTTAATTTTATTGCGGTAATGGGTTACAATTAATTTTTTAACAACGAATTTTTATCATTTTGTTTCGATCATGTCTATGGTTTCGATCATTTATTTGCGATTGGCCGCTAAGTCGATGTTACACGATACTGAGCATGCGCATAGCTGTAGCTAATAAAATTTAGGCACAATTAGAGTCCTAGATATCAGAGAAGCGCAACCGATGTTCCGCGTCTTGGTTAGCTGACTGTCAGCCAATCATGACATTCATTCAGTGGTATTAAAAATGGCTGACTAATAGACGATTGGTGGATTTCCTATTTCGTCTGCAAACGACGCCATTTTTATTACTTTTCTTAGTAATTTTGCGATACTGACTTAAGCCGGTTGCGTTTCTCTGATATTTAGGACTCTAGGCACAATCGCCCCCCGCATTTCAGGACAACCCCCTTCGCCTATCTTCGGAGCTAATGCTCTGTCTCTATATTTCTATGTCCATGGATGCAATAAGTTGAAGTGAAATAAATATACATTTGTTTCATTTTAACTTATTGCACCGTGTGCACTAGTTCAGACAGTGCAGGAACAAACAAAAAACAGACCCAATATGGCAACTTCATGTTGGATGTTTATTGGTCCAACAGTTTTATGTTATGCTCATGCTCTATAAAACGGGGAGCACAGACTTTTCATAACGCATAAACCATATACATAAAGAATTTGATTGGTCCATTGACTCATGCATAAGAAAATGGACCAATGAAATTCCTTATGCACATGCTTTATGTGTAGAGGCCTAGAAAACAGAGATGCGACATTGCGTCGGTTGGGTTAGGTAACCACCGCCATTTTAATTCAATATAAGTGCTCTTGACCAATAAGCTGATGACAGTTGATGCAAAAGTTAGAAAGATTAGATTAGGTTAGGTTAAGTCCGATATTAAATATTCACACAAATAAGAATACTTACACCATAATAATAGTTTTTTATTGCACTTTGACACTGTATTGTCTAAATTTTTCTCTCTATATATATGTAACATACGTTATAAAACTATATCTATTAGATGCAATAGTGAATTAAAATGTCTCTCTGATCACGTGATTTAGACAGCCAATCAAGCCATACCCTTCAATGACGCATCTCTGTTTTCTAGGTCTCTATTTATGCGTTATGCAAAAGTCTGTGCTCCCCGCTTTATGCCGGTTCTACATTAGTTGCAAGCCGATCGCAAGTTTGTTGCGATAGCCAATCTGAAGCGTTGATTTCAAAATGCAAGTTTGAGATTGGCTGTCGCAACGAACTTGCGATCGACTTGCAACTAATGTAGAACCAGCTTTATGCATTTCATGTGCGATGAAATGAGAGCCCCAACACACACTGACCTAGTTTCCACCGAAACCCTCAATTCGGTTCCACTACGGTATAGGCCTGGTTTACATCGTGAAAGAACTGGTACGCGTATTAAATGTGTTTCATGCGTTCACATCGCCATTTGTATCATTTGATACGCGTATCAGTTTAGTACGATACTCTGCTTGATACGCTCGAACCAAAATATCCGACAGCGTTTACATCGTGCGTACTAAATGTTTATAGTACGAATTTGATACGAATATAGTACGCGTATCAAGCATAGACTTATACTCATAGACTGCGCATCTCAACGGGCCGACTGTCGTCTGGACTAGAGAGAGAAAAGCGGGGAGCTTTGTCTCTTTCTAACTATTACCACCATTACCATCGTTAGAGAGAGACAAAGCTCCGACCACTCATGCTTTCTCTCTCTAGTCCAGACGATAGTCGGCCCGTTGAGATGCGCAGTCTATGAGTATAAAGCGGAGAGCACAGACTCTTGCATAACGCAAAAACCATATACATAAAGAATTTGATTGGTTCATTGACTCATGCATAAGAAAATGGACCAATAAAATTCCTTATGCACATGCTTTATGCGGTATGCAAAAGTCTGTGCTCTCCGCTTTATACTCATAGACTGCGCATCTCAACGGGCCGACTATCGTCTGGACTAGAGAGAGAAAAGCGGGGAGCTTTGTCTCTTTCTAACTATTACCACCATTACCATCGTTAGAGAGAGACAAAGCTCCGACCACTCATGCTTTCTCTCTCTAGTCCAGACGATAGTCGGCCCGTTGAGATGCGCAGTCTATGAGTATAAAGCGGAGAGCACAGACTCTTGCATAACGCAAAAACCATATACATAAAGAATTTGATTGGTTCATTGACTCATGCATAAGAAAATGGACCAATAAAATTCCTTATGCACATGCTTTATGCGGTATGCAAAAGTCTGTGCTCTCCGCTTTATACTCATAGACTGCGCATCTCAACGGGCCGACTATCGTCTGGACTAGAGAGAGAAAAGCGGGGAGCTTTGTCTCTTTCTAACTATTACCACCATTACCATCGTTAGAGAGAGACAAAGCTCCGACCACTCATGCTTTCTCTCTCTAGTCCAGACAATAGTCGGCCCGTTGAGATGTGCAGTCTATGAGTATAAAGCGGAGAGCACAGACTTTTGCATAACGCATAAACCATATACATAAAGAATTTGATTGGTTCATTGACTCATGCATAAGGAAATGGGCCAATGAAATTCCTTATGCACATGCTTTATGCGTTATGCAAAAGTCTGTGCTCCCCGCTTAAGTCTATGGTATCAAGTGCATGATGTAAACCAGGCCATTAAGCCTTGTGTCCATGATGCTAGAAATCGGTCTGAGATCTCGGATGAAGAAAGAATTAACAAATCACATTTGAACAATTTGGTCACATGACCAATGTTAAGCGGGGAGCACAGACTTTTGCATAACGCATAAACCATATACATAAAGAATTTGATTGGTCCATTGACTCATGCATAAGAAAATGGACCAATGAAATTCATTATGCACATGCTTTATGCGTTATGCAAAAGTCTGTGCTCCCCGCTTAATTGGTCAATTTTTCCTTCATTCGAGATCTCGGACCGATTTCTAGTATCGTGGACACAAGGCTTTATGTAGGATTCACACTGCGTCCGACATCCGACGTACGACGTCCGATATCCAATAGGAGAGCTTGATTTCTTGATATATAGCTAACAATATTTTGTAACAAGCTCTGCTATTGGATATCGTACCGTCGTCCGTCGGATGTCGTATGCAGTGTGAATCCTACATTAGGCCCCTAGGACTTGTTTCTGGACAGAAATAAAAGTGTGTGGACGTGAAAAAAGTTATCTACTCGCGCTAATTCTGATTTCTCCCGCCAGGTAGCGTAGTGACACATCGAATTTCCTAATAGCAACGTGATCATCGCGGTATGTATTTTCTATCACAAATCCGCCAGAAAAGTTCAATCGCCTGCTTGCTCGGATGGGTTTATTGCGCTGAGAAATTTCAAATTTCAATCTGTCTATATTCACGGTTCCCTACGTGCTTTATTGGTTTCTGCTACGCTTATCGTTAATACGGCAGGCAAAGTATAATTTGTGATATAACCTTACTCTGACTCCCAGCAAACGATGTTGAAGTCCGCACTGCGCTTGATCGTTGTTGAGTTGAGCCTTGGTCAATCAAACGACGGCGATGACGACACTTGATTTTGATGGTTGCACCTTTTGTTGGTACAATTATTACGATAATCTCCATTCTAATTTCGGTATCGCGATCTTCGAGTTAGATTCTTTCAAGAAATCTACGTCGTATTCTCTCTAGGTGGGCAGATCACATGCGACGATGACGACGGTAAAAATGTTATCTCGCGTCAAAGAAAAATCGTGAATCTGTTGGAAATCAATTGTGAACTAACTTTCCTCTTGTGTTATATAGATTGTTGACTACTGTTTTCATGATGAATATGAGTGTTGGAGATGTGTCCTTTCACTTGGGAGAAGTATTTGATAGCTATGAGGAACTGGAAAAAAAGTTGGCTAGAGTCTCAAAACATACATTTGTACATTACTGGAGACGAGACAGTAGAACTGTAAGTGGAGCTCATATGAAAACCTCACGGCCGATTAGCGAGAGATTGAAGTATTATTCTGTCAAATATGCATGTATCTATGGTGGCCAGAGATTCCTCCCTCGTGGTGCTGGTAGAAGACAATCTCAGTGAGTCTTTAATTATTCTCTGAAACAATGGTTATGTTCAGCAGGATATAATAGTTTTGTAACTGTTTTATGATTGTTTTCAAAGATAGAACTATTTTTTTTAGAACTAAAAGTATAATTTAGTCAGTAGGAGAAAACTTCCAACAGTTGCAGAACATTCTGTTGAATGCAACTATTATAATAATTATATATTATAATAATAATAAACTATTACAATAATTATTGTATATTAACGATATATTGGTACCTATTAATATTTATCTAGCTTGAACATAATTATTTCTTCTTTCTGCATTCTTACTTCTGTTATATAGGTCCATACGAACAAATTGTCCTGCACATATTATGGTCAGAGCAACTAAAGATGGCACACAATTAGAAGTGACTAGTGTTAATAATGAACACAATCATGAGATTTCAGAGGTATATTTTATCAAATCGATTCATTATATTAAATATAATAATAAATAGTTTATTATACTAGTAGTAGAATTAAAAGAAACAACTAGAAAAAGATACGGATATTACAGAATATACAGAACTAAGTCAAGAACATAGAAAATAAAAGATCTGTTTTATTTTTGAATTAAGAATTTAGTATACTGTGTTACAATTTTTAATTGTATTTATGTACATATTGTATTATTATTATCATCATCATCATCATCATCATCATCATCATCATCCATCATCATTATTATTATTATTGATTATGCTTTTGAGGCTTTCACGGGTATTTTCTTCGATTATACCAGAAGGTTTACGGGTTATCGCCGTGTCTTTCTTCATTATTAAGGCGATGCTGGACCCGCCTGTATTATCGACAAAAACGTCAAAAACAAGCGTTTTTGACGTTTTCGTTCCTGTCTAATTTCTTCATAATAGTTTAACAGAATAAAAATTCCTTCTTCACGATTAAAATATCCGAGCTAATACACCTGTCCCTGGTGTATATTGTGTCCAAAGCTGGAAAAAGTATGAAATTACAGATTTCTTTATCCATTTTTATCTTCAGCGTTGATCGCCATATTGAGGTTATTAGCTCGGATATTTTAATCATGGAGAAGGAATTTTTATTCTATGATACTATTATGAAGAAATTAGGAACGAAAACGTTAAAAACGCTAGTTTTATCGGTAATACAAACGACTCCAGCATCACCTTAATGCCAACGTTTCGTGAACTGTGCCGTTTACTTCATCAGGGCGAGGGATGCGCTGATACTGAGTCGCTACCTTGGGGGGGATTCCCTTTTATGTAGACGCTGTTAGGAGGAGGGAGAGGTGGGGAGAGGGGTCTTCTTTGGCCTGTCGAGAGGACAGTCTTCCATATCTTGCTTACATTATTATTATTATTATCATTATCATCATCATCATTATCATTATTATTATTATTATTATTATTATTATTATTATTATTATTATTATTATTATATTAACAATAAGGAGTTTATACAATTTTCTTGCAGGTTATTTTTACATGTTATGGCACTTTTTTTTCAATTTTCTGTATATAAGTAGCATTTTACAGTGAATTTTGTTTTCAATGTTCATTGGCAATCTCTATCAGATCTTTTACATCATTTACAATATTTACATTAAACTTTGTAGTTCTAACAAAGTGAAAGAGTTTTTGAGATTACATTACATTTAAAAAATAGCTGTTATTATATTTAAAGAATATTTTGTGAATAGGATCTATTTAAGAGACTTCCGCAAGAGAGAAAACTCTGTGGTGAAATTAGACGAGATGTCCAAGATCTCATGCAGTTGCATGTTGATCGTAAAAGATTAAAAGAGTACGTGCGATTACGCACTAATAAGGAACTCCGATCCAAAGATTTATTTAATATAGCAGCGGCTAATAAAGAGAAAAAAGATATTACACCAGAACGAGCATATCAATTATTTGAAAAAATTTGTAATATTGAAAAGATACAAGCCAGAAGTGATAATAGAAAGAAGTTTTCCGAATCTGACGACGAAATAGCGCAGACTATAAAAAGAATGAAGAAGGAAGAAAAATCCGCTTGGAATCAGGACGTAAGACCTACTTATAATCTTCTCTTTATTTGTATTAGTATTATAAATAAAACAATTTTCTTGCATTAGGAATTATCGACAGAGTTAGAAGTGAATGAAGGAAATGATGGTGAAGATTCTTACAGCAGTCAGTTGACACAAGGAGAAGTAGTTGATGAGATTGACACTAACGAGAATAAATTATTGAGAGCAAATAATGAAGACGACATAATAGTGGCAGATGGAGAAATAGTCGGCGAATTGGTGATGGAAAGTGGCGATCCATCGGTGATAGTTGAATCTATTGTCAACACGGACGGTTCTGTTTTCGTCGATGAAAGAGAATTCAATAACTACTGCAACAATCACTTATCACATACAGTAGATGATAGTCAATCACCGAAGCGACGAGGTACTTAAATTTTAATTAAGTTGGAATCACACATAGTTCGATTTCTTGAATGATAAGCATGTATGCTTCTATACTTGCTCTGGGGGTCAATCGTGTAATGTTTTCCCTAATGTAGAAATATGAAAAGTGCAAATTTTTATATATGAATGTAGATGTATTTACATACATACTAGATACAAAAAATCGTTATTTTTCATGTTTGCATCCTAGAAAAAAAGTTATATGATTGACTCCCTAATTCTAGAATACGTTCACACATTGAGTGTAACATGCTGACATGCATGATTTCTATGTTTATTATGCATAGCTTATTTTCTTGAATATATCAATCATAAGATTAAATTTATAGTTATGTGATTGAACAAACGATTAACATTATCTTCAGAATAGAAACAATTGTGCTAATTTCGTAGTTATTTGTCAATTAGAAATTGCATATATTAAAACAAATAATAGCATGCGTGTACACTTATTGTTCAAAAAATCATGTGATTTCAGCTTTAGTAGTTTTACATAATGCGTATGAATTTATATACCACGTTTGTAGATTTTTAATTACATGCCGAATTGTTTTTTCAGACTTGAAACGCAATACTACTTAGCCAGAAATGATAATGGAATTGACGTTGATTCAACGTTGAAATTATCAAATTGACGTTGAATCGACGATTCAATGTCGAAATCATTAAATCGACGATTCCATTATCATTTCTGGTTGGATAATTGAGTACTAAGCTATCGCAGTAATATCATGAGTTAAATTGACATGCAAGTTCCTCGGAATGCTAGAGGTCCGGGTTTGATTCCCGGCCGAGATAATATTTTTCGCAATGAAAATTTAATAATTTACAGTTTTGATATGTCGTTTTACAGATTTTAATATGTCATTCAACATTATTAAAAATCGATCTAAAGATGCGCAAAGAGCATTAAAATTGTTAGTCAATTTAACTCATGATATTACTGCGATAGTTCAGTAGTGTTGCATTTCAAGTCTAAAAAAATAATTCGGTGCGCAATTAAAAATCTACACATAGTATATCAATTTACACGCATTATATAGAAGCACCCAAGATCTAGCTTGAGCGTTACGGCATGTTCTCATCGGTATTTACTAGTTTAAACTTTTACATCTAATAAGATTTGATATTGTTTAGCAGTTTTAAAACAAAGAGCATTTGTTGTACAGCCACAGCGCTAGTTATTATGAGCGAATGTCCTTTATTCAAATTATACGTTAAATTTGTCTAAATGTTTCGGTCTATTTTAAACTATTATTAGTAAAAATTATTACAATTAAAAATATTACAAAGTAATATTATAATTAACGCAATAGTATAATTACGCAATCTGTTGTCCTAGCATTTTTTTATATTAAAATATTATTACGTGCTTGTTCCATTGATAGATCGAAATTAGCAATCCTTGTGTATTTTTTCGTATTGTTAAAAACCATTTTCTTTAACGTCAAGTGCTTCTAACAATTGTCAATTTAATAGATTTTCTTGTGTATTGTGAATGTTCTATATTTCCTTTGTTTGCACAGAATTTCCAAATGCTATTACATATGTATTTACATTAATATTTAATAATGATTGTGAATTTAAATGTACATTGTCAACATTATCGCTTCTAACGTTGTGTAAGAGACTTCTTAAGGTAGTTCTTCACAAAAATGAATTACTGCAGAAAAAAATAAGAAAAATATATGAGGTTCTCTGGATCTCGCACTATATGTTACAATTTTTTTAACCCCCGATTGCCGAACTCATTTTTGAGAAAAAATTCGTTGAAATTGGCTTCTTATACACGGAGACATAGGGTATCGTACAGTTCCGAGCACTATTATTTACAAATTAGTATAGTAAAAAACTGCAGTTGATAATGAAAAAGTAATAGATGAAAGTTAAAGATTCGTACTTTTTAACGGTCAAAATAAAAGTGGAGGTAGCCGAACAAATTTTCGAGATATTGTAGAAACAGCAAAAATGTACGATTTCATAACCTCTTTCATGTCACTACGTGGTTCATCGCTACGTATAAACAATATTAATATTATTAAAACTTTATTATTTCAATGCAAATATTATCAACAAAGACCTTAAAATTTATAAATATATTTAATGAACGCCATATATACAATTCGATTGAGAATTTCGCAATTTTTATTCTCAGCATTTAGTTGACTAGGGAGTCCGTGAAGAACTACCTTAACACTTCTAGCGTTGACTAGATTATTAATTATTAAGACAATTTTTATTCCTAACAAACATACCTGTAATAACCTGATATAACTTTCTATTAAAGGCGGCAATTGACTGACATTATAGATTTTATTTTTATGTTTTATTTTATTTGTGAATCGTGAAGAAGTTTAACCAAATGACATCAGTGTACAAATTGTTATGTTAGAAAGGAATTGATAGGAGAAGGGAGAAAATATTTTCTTAGTGGTAGGAGGAAGAGGTCTTGGAGATAATAGGAAGATATAGATGTCTGGAAATTTTTCCGTATCACTTTGCTTATTAATGCTCAATTCCTGTGGTTTTATATTATTTCAGAGATCACACACACATGCGTTTGTAAAATATGGTAAGTATAAAATAAAAAAAAAGAAGAATTATCCAATATCGTTTACAAAATCAACTGTAGTGATTGCAAATGTTCGTATGTGCACATGACAAAGAGAAAAGTAGGAACATGTATAAAGGAACGTAAAGCAGACATAAAAAAATCTCTCACTAACAATTCTGTAATATTACTTCACTAATTAGAAAATAATCATAAGTTTACGCTTTTGAGGCTTTCACGGGTATTTTTTTCAATTATACCAGAAGGTTTGCGGGTTATCGCCGTGTCTTTTTTCATTATTAATGCCAACGTTTCGTGAACCATGCCGTTCATTTCATCAGGGCGAGGCTTGCACTGATACTGAGCCGCTACTCTGGGAGACTCCCTTTATGTAGACGCTGTTGGGAGGGGAGGAGATGTATGTTGAAGGGTGGGAGAAGGAGTACTTCTTTGGCCTGTCGAGAGGGCAGTCTTCCATATCCTGCTTACATTATATCCTGAGTCTTTGTTTAAATTGTCTGGGTGTTTCTGTATTTCCAAGGCCTCTCTGTGCTTTCTCGGGAAATATGATGTTGTGGCAATAGTTGTCGTTTTATCGAATAGTATTCGATGTCTTGTCTCAATGCTGTCTTCTGCCAGGGTTGATTGTGTGATGTGTTTCAACCTGACATCCCGTTGGTGTTCTTTCATCTGTGTGTTGACCGTTTTTCCGGTTTCATCGATGTACACTTTCCCGCAGGAGCAGGGTATTTTGTACACTCCTGCGGAACTGAGTGGAGGTCTCTGATCCTTGGGATTTCTCAAGATTTGTTCGATCTTCCTTGGGGGCTTGAAAATAGTCCGGATGTTTATTCAAGATCCTACCGATTCGGTTTGTTGTTCCCTTTATACATATATGGATATAATAGCGTCTACATAAAGGGAGTCCCCCAGGGCTAAATATCAGCGCAACCCTCACCCTGATGAAATGAACGGCATGGTTCACGAAACGTTGGCATTAATAATGAAGAAAGACACGGCGATAACTCGCAAACCTTCTGGTATAATCATAAGTTTAAATGGGATGATATAGATATAATGGATTTAGAACAATCATATTACAAACGCATGATTTCTGAAATGATACATATAAAATCACAGGAATTGAGTATTATTAAGCAAAGTGAAAAAATTTCCAGACATCTATCTTCCCATTATCTCCAAGGAAGGTATTTATAGTCGGTTCTTATTTCAAAACCATCTTAAGCAATGTCTTAAGACATTAATGTAGCGTTTTGGCCGGTATTCGTAGTCAGTTCTTATATTCAAGACCGTCTTAAGTTCAGTCTTAAAGAGTTACGAACCAATCAGAGGGTCGCTTTAGCATCTTAAGACATTACTTAAGACAGTCTTGAAATAAGAACCGACTATGAATACCGGCCTTTTTTGATTGGTTTGTGAGATCTCAAGACTGAACTTAAGACGGTCTTAAATATAAGAATCATTGACATATAGAATGGACCGCTGATGATAGTGGTGGGGGTAGAAAGACGAGTAGAGTGAGAGGCAGAAATAATATGATCGTTCTTTCTCTGTTTACTGATAACTACTGATTACTATTGGTCACTGTTAATCCAACAACCAATCAGGCTTCAATAAACAGAGAAAGAACGATCATATTATTTCTGCCTTTCACTCTACTCGTTTTTCTACCCCCACCACTATCATCAGCGGTCCATTCTATATGTCGATGATAAGAACTGACTATGAATACTGGCTCAAGACCTCTTCCTCCCACCACTAAGAAGAAAATTCCTCCCTTCTCCTATCAATTCCTTTCTAATGGTTTAAACACTGATTTGACACGAAACGCCAACTCGTGATATTCTTCACAATCTCAGCTTCTCTGAGTTTAAATTATTAATTTAATATTAAATTTTAATATATGTCTTTCAACATATTATTAAGATCTAATATGATGCTATAGGCATCAAAAATTGGTTAAATTGATTCTCAATTTAACTAAGTGATATTACTGTGGTAGTGAATATGCGTCAAGGCTGAAAATCTATCAGCGTCGCGGGGAGGGGGGGACTACATACACAGTATATAAAATTTACATAATAAAATAAACATTAACATCCAGTTTTAAAGACTCGAATGGCTTTACACTTTCTGTTGATTTTAATAAATCATACGAGTCAATCATAATTTATCTTTCATATTTATATCGCGCGGCCTGAAAAATGCGCTTTAATAATATTAAGAACAATGTGAAGAATATCACTTCGTCGACTAGCCAACAGAGGTCTATAGTTACTCATGCCATTTCTCGCAAGTGCTTGATTACATGTGTAATTGTTTATATAGAACTTCTTTCTAACATCTTTCCAGGCGTCTAAGGTAGGCTCCCACTACATTACCTTACTGATGAGTCCAGTAGTGGAAGCCGGGACGAAACGCCAACTCGTGATATTCTTCACAATCTCAGCTTCTCTGAGTTTAAATTATTAATTTAATATTAAATTTTAATATATGTCTTTCAACATATTATTAAGATCTAATATGATGCTATAGGCATCAAAAATTGGTTAAATTGATTCTCAATTTAACTAAGTGATATTACTGTGGTAGTGAATATGCGTCAAGGCTGAAAATCTATCAGCGTCGCGGGGGGGACTACATACACACTATATAAAATTCACATAATAAACATTAACATCCAGTTTTAAAGACTCGAATGGCTTTACACTTTCTGTTGATTTTAATAAATCATACGAGTCAATCATAATTTATCTTTCATATTTAAACACTGATGTCATTTGGTTAAGATCCTTCATACGGTTCACAAATAAAATAAAACAAAAATAAAATCTATAACTTATAACGTCAGTCAATTGTCGCCTTTAATAAAAAGTTCTAATCAGGATATTACAGGTTACAGGTATGTTTGTTAGAAATAAAAACCGAACAAAATCATATCATAAAAATGAAAAGTTCAAGCCATGTTCAAAAAAAGATACTCATTAAAAGTTTAAATTTTTGAGTGTCTTTTTTTGAACATGGCTTGAACTTTTCATTTTTATGATATGATTTTGTTCGGATATCATTTATTTTTTAGAGTACAAATATATCACAAATATATAAAAAAATGATTTAAAAATATTATATAACGAAAGAGTGAAATGCGGCAAAAGAGAAGGGTGGTGGGAGTGGGTGGTGGGGAAGGGGGAGGGGTGGGAGACTTGAATGCGGACAGAGAAGGAGAAAAAGAAGGAGAAGGAGAAGAAGAAAAAGATAAAGGAGACGTTTCTTAATTTTTTTTATTAAAATCACTTTTCGACCGCTTGTATCTTCAGAACGGCTTGACCGATTTTCAATTTTTTTGACTCAAATTACTCGTGGCGATGCCGCCTTTCAGGACATAACGTTCGATTCAAAATTTTTTATATTTTAATAGTTATGCACCCCCCAAAAATAGACTTTGGTGGCTCAGGATAACAGACTTGTAGTGTCTTTCAGTTTTTGAACATGGCTGGAGACACTACCGCGTTCCCTGATTGTTTTAATAATTAATAATTTACTCAACGTTAGAAGCGATAATGTTGACAATGTACAATTAAATTCACAATCATTATTAAATGTTAATGTAAATACATATGTAATAGCATTTGGAAATTCTGTGCAAACAAAGGAAATATAGAACATTCACAATATATAAGAAGATCCATTAAATTGACAATTGTTAGAAGCACTTGGCGTTAAAGAAAATGGTTTTTAACAATACAAAAAAATACACAAGAATTGTCAATTTCGATCTACTAATGGAACAAGCACGTAATAATATTTTAATATAAAAAATGCGAGGACAACAGATTGCGTAATTATACTCTTGCGTTAATTATAATATTACTTTGGATGCGTTCAGCGGACTTAACAGTTGAGCGTTCGCTGTTATTGTATATTCTTCTAGATCTAAAATTCTGATTGGTTGATCTAAAAGAATACACCAATAATAACGAGTGCTCACTCAACTGTGAGTCCGCTGAACGCGCCATTTGTATTATTTTTAACTATAATAATTTTTACTGATAATAGTCTAAAATAGATCGAAACGTCTAGACAAATTTAACGTTTAATTTGAATGAAGGACATTTGCTCATAATAACTAGTGCTATGGTTGTATGCTCTTTGATTTGGTTTTATTTTATATTCTAAGCCTCATAACATATTATTTAGTAGTTTTATTGTAGTAGAGATTTCTCATTGAAGAAGATTTGATATGTTTCAATTCTAGATATGGAAACGATTAATTCTACTACTACTATCGAAAAAATTACGAGACAATCATCTACCTCACCCAGTCACAAATTGCAGATCGACTCTTTAACGCTTCAACAGTCATCAAAGTCAACTACTAGCTTTCAAGAAACAGATTCGAGAATTTGGATCATGAATGAAGGTACTTCTATGGAAACTGAATTGGAACAAGAAAGCGGGCCCGAGAGCGAGACAAACGTGACGATCAAACCAATCTCAATGATGAAGCCGGACTTGGAGACAACCGAAACTGTATTATCTGACGATCCAAGCCATCAACTACTTCAAGAGCAGTTGGCAGTGCTACGAGCCGAGAAGGGAAAATTGTATCATGAGACTGAGATGCTGAAATTGAAGAAAGACAAATTAAAGTTACAGATCAATTGCTACTCAAATGAAATAAAGAAGCAGGAGATGGAGAGGGAGAAATTGAGACTCGAGATCAGGCTGCTTCAATCCAAAGTTATGGACGACACTAACGATGTTTCCCATTACATTTTTGTGCCCTGAACTTCTTGCTTTTGTTATAAATTAACTGTAAATGTGTCATCTTACTGTAAATGTGTATCTTATATTATTTAACACGTTCTATGTCACGTGGATCTGTATTTTTCATTTAAATCTTTTGATATTTTGACTATAAAAGGAAATGCGATCGTTAAATAATTTTCAATATTGTACATGGATACATGACTATATTGTAGTACATCAAACCTTTTTTTATAATAATAATTTTAATAACTTTTTTACCAATTATGAAATGCATATAACAAATATGACAAACGTAAACAATAATTCACATCCCTGGCGAAAATAATATATTTATTAAAAGTTTATAAGGAGCTTGCTTAAATGTTGAGTAGATGTTTCATTTGAGTTTTAAAGTATTTATGAGTTGCTGGCGAGAGGTTCATCCCCATTTTGCGTTCATTAATCGATCGATCAAAGTTCTAGTATCTAAAAATGATTGAATTCGATTTCTCATATTATTCTGAGAAAAAGCATCTATATACACTTTATTTGTTTAAGTGGTTATTAAAAAGTTATAAACATTTTTTTGTTTAAAAAATTTATACTTTTAACAAAATTTTCGAAAAAATTCTGTAAGCTTAATTGGATCAAAATGAACATTTTCTTTGTCTCTTAGACTTTTTTGATAAAATCAATAGTTTTCGAGATAAAAAATGTCAAAACTTGAAAAATGACTACCTTTACGATTTTTTTTCTCACAAACTAATCATCCAATCAGTACGAATAAAAAACGAAAATATTCGGCCAATCTTAAATTATAACGAGAAATTTTTTTATTTTGATTCGTACTGTTATTGATAGTGAAAACTTTATTAGAATGAAGCTCTGAAGCGAAGGGCGTATTACTCTCGAGTTAATAGTTTTTAATGTTAGAAATCATAATATAATCAAGTGAATATTATGATGACATACAAGGAATCGTATGAATAACGTTTGAAATCGAGCAATTGAAATTTGCAGTTTAACGAGCGAGTTAATGTAGCGTTATCTGTTTTGAGAGCGAGTCGAGGTGCGAACGGTGCGAATTCGTGCGAGTCGCGGTACGAATCGGTGCGAGTCGATGCGAATCAGTGCATTTAATTCGTGTTTTATTAAAATTTATATTCTAGTGTAGATATTTCAACTTTCAAACAAGCGCTGTGCCTATAGCTGTGATACTATTAACGACTCGGCGGCGTCGCATCGAGACTGCTCATGCGCCGCGGACGCGCCTTCAGACGCGCTTCATTCTAATAAAGTTTTCACTATCAATAACAGTACGGATGAAAGTAAAAAAATTTCTCGTTATAGTTTAAGATTGGCCGAATATTTTCGTTTCTTATTCGTACTGATTGGATGATTAGTTTGTGAGAAAAAAATCGTAAAAGTAGTCATTTTTCAAGTTTTGACATTTTTTTATCTCGAAAACTATTAATTTTATCAAAAAAGTCTAAGAGACAAAAAATGTTCATTTTGTTCCAGTTAAGCTTACAGAATTTTTTCGAAATTTTTGTTCAGTTTAGGTTTTTTAAACAAAAAAATGTTTATAACTTTTTAATGACCATTTAAACAAATAAAGTGTATATAGATGCTTTCTCTCAAAATAATATGAGGAATCGAATCTAATCATTTTCAGATACTAGAACTTTGATCGGTCGGTTAATTCATTTTCTAAGCGACTTTTCGTGGGTAAACCGCTCGCCTATATGAAATGGAAATTTAAACATGGAATTGTTTAATGCTGGTTCTACATTAGTTGCAAGTCGATCGCAAGTTTGTTGCGACAGCCAATCTGAAGCGTTGATTTCAAAATGCAAGCTTGAGATTGGCTGTCGCAACGAACTTGCGATCGGCTTGCAACTAATGTAGAACCGGCTTAAGAGGTGTTTACGATCATGTTTTTCAAAGCGTTTCATATGAAATATTACAGTGGCCTTTAAAGACAATATATATAATAATCTCAAACATTTTCATTATAGTTCTCTAAGTGTTTATAAAATAAATATTAGAATCCTTGTTTATAAAATGTTAATTAACAGAGGATTTACAAAGTGTTTTCAAACAGTGGTTCAAAATAGTGCAACTATCAATAAAACTCTTCATGAACAATCTTACATAACCGTAACCATGGACAAAACTCTTCATATAAATAATATAACCCTCGATAAAATGCTTCCTAAACAGGTATAAATACAATATCTCACTCATGGTATAAAGACAAAGGTATGTTCATCTGGAGATGCGTTCAGTTTCCTGCATGAAACGCACGAGTATTTAGCGCATAGTATAGAGTGCAGGGTACGTTCCGTTTCTCCAATACACTCCATGCGTAGTAGTAACGGAACAGATTCTGTAGTGAATTTATGCAGTGAATCAACATGGACCCAAATATCCAAAAGGGATGTTTAATACCTGTTTCTAAAATATTAGAAATTTAACAAGTTTTACAGATTATTCTTACGTGTGTTCACAGAGACTCGTAACAAAATCCAAAGTCGATTCACTGAAGCGACTTGAAGTTATAAGAGTTTAAAAATATAAGGACTTTAAGGTTAGATTAGGGATACTCACTGTCAAAAATTTTTTATTTCTTTTAGAAATAATTAGCAATAGAAATTTAAAAGTACATTTCTGCATTTTAGGTATGAGTAAATGATAAGATTCTGTATACAGTCTTTATTATTCAAATTATATGAAAAGAGCACATATTCGTCATACTGTTATTCAACCGAAATTTTCATAATATATACGCATAACTTCGGTAATACTGGTATTATACCGTATATATATATTATTTAATATATGTTAAATGTTAAATAAATTTTTAGGTATTCTAAACATCCTGTTTACGTATCTTTAAAACCCGTGATTTAGAACACTAACCCCAGACGAACTAATGAAGATACCAATGAAGATTTCAGTTTCGCGCTAAACATATGTTGAATGCATAAGCTGCATGAACTGCCTTAGCTGCTGAGGTGAGGGGTAATTATTTAGAATAGGGGAGGCCATCGCTATGACCTTGACATATGTTGTCAAGGTCATGACCCTGAGTAACCTCCAACAGGTTTTAACCGTCGCTCGTTCGTCGTTAAGAAATTATTAACAATCATAGTTTTAAAATTAACGTATTATTTCTACTATACCAGGTGTATGCATATGAAAGTGGACTTTACCATAGATGGTCATAGTAGATCAATGTAGTTACCGTCAGAGCACGTCATTGACGCCATTTCCTTGTTCTGACATCTGACAAAGATTTTCAACTCACAACAATACAAGTTTCATACAACAGTATAGTTTGTAATAGCGTTGAATATGTCGAATTTTGCGCCTAGAAACTACGATTCGCGGACACCAATTGATTTTCCGTTACCATTTGAAGAAAACTGCTGCAGAATCGCATCGAATGCTTGTCGAAGCTTACGGTGAGCATGCTCTTGGTAAATCACAGTGCTTTGAGTGGTTTAAAAAATTCAAAAGTGGCGATTTTGACGTGAGAAACAAAGAACGTGGAAAACCACCGAAACCTGCTAAAACCTGGCGAAACCGTTAATACTGAACGTTACCGACAACAAATGATCAATTTGAATCAAGCTTTGCGTGAAAAACGACCGGAATATAAAAAAAGGCAACACAAAGTGATTTTGTTTCATGGTAATGCACCATCACACACAGCAAAATAGGTCAAAGAAACGATTGAGACGTTTGATTGGGAAATACTTTCGCATGCCGCTTACTCACCAGACTTGGCTCCGTCCGATTATTACTTATTTGCATCGTTAGGACACGCACTTGCTCAGCAGCGCTTCACTTCTTACGAAGATGTACGAAAATGGCTAGATGACGGTTTGGCTCAAAAGAGCAACAATTTTTTTGGCGTGGCATCCACAAATTATCAGACAGGTGGCAAAAATATATAGCTAGCGATGGGAAATACTTCGAATAAAATATTTTTTATCATTTTCATGCAATAAACATGTATTTTCTATAAAAAAATCCACTTTCATATGCATACACCTGGTACATGTATGATGTTAAGTGCTATTTTACACCTTTCCCTGTTCAGAAACGTTAAACTTTCTACGCGAAGTAACTTTCACCCCACCCCTCTCCTGCACAAGGTCACACAACTTCCATGACTGTACTATTGCTATGATTGTACTGTGGGGCAAACCTCTACCGACGGGGTGGGGGCGGGAGGGAGGGCCGTAGGCCACCCCCTTGCACCCCCTCCCCCGTGTGTGTGCGTGCGTGCGTGCGTGTGTGTTGTATACATATATAGCAGAAATAAGACGTTATTTGATGTTTTAAACACGCACATGCACACACACGCACGCCTACGGCCCCCCCTCCCGCACCCCGTCGGTAGAGGTGTGACGTGACGTTTTTCGTCTGTCACTTTTGCGACAACTACAACTTACGGATCCTGCCCTCTCCCGGCTCAGGGGGGGGGGGGGGGGGGGGGGAGGGCGCTGCCGAGCGCCGGGAAGTTTTCGGAAAATTACTGTCTTTATTTCTTTGTATTTTTCTTTTGCGAGTATTCTTTATTAGCGATAGACGTGCGAATTGGTGGCTATGTTTCGAGATTTGTCATAAGCTGTCTCACCCGATTGCTGGAGCCGAAGAGGGACCGAGAAGGAGCCTGCTGGAGACGACGAGCAGAGTACTCTCAGCGGCGGGAAAGCGCAGGTCGTATAATTACTGTCATTCTTAAAATGCGTCATCTATTTGTGCTCTCTTCTTGCCGATCACTTTTGCAGAGGAAAGCGAGAGTCTACCGGACTAGGGAAGAACCTTCCGGAATTTGTACGAGCAGAAAGATCCCACGATTATGAAAACTGCACACGGGAGGAAATAACGCGAGGACGCATGGCGGCTCATGCCCTCCCCGAACTCGGACGTAATCTGATCTGAGGAGCGGAGACAGTCGAGTAGACAAGAAAAGGGCGACTCTGGAACGAGTTCAGACTTCGCGCCGAGCCGTACGAGACCACGCG